ACATGTGTCTATGACAGAGTGGGACTGGGAGTGCCAGGGAAATGTGAATAATTCTTTTAACATATGAAAGAGGAGGAAATCACAATATATGCGATCGTCCCGAGCAGAACAGAGAGTCTGATTATTGTCACGGGAATGTGAGGAAGACCCATTTTGTATGCAGGAAGAACTGGGGCTGCTCACCCTAGGCTGGATCCATGTAAGCAAATCTGACCTCCCTGAGGGCCGGCGTCCTCTTCCCCATCTCTTAGAAGCACACTGGCCAAGTCTTTCTCTTAGCAGAGTCAAGCCATTCCATCTCTTTTGTCCCTGAGCACACATGACTGCTTGTGTCCCAACGTTGAGGGCTTTAACACATTTCTAATCTTCATCTGCTATTAAAAGCAATTCTTCAGCATTCCTGTTCCCACTGAGGTTAGGGTAAAGGATAGCTGTCATAGGACAGGTGCGGCCATGTGCCTAAAAGCTGTGTACATGAAGCACTTAAATAAACCAAGAGAGTTCATTCCGATGATTGCACTTTTTCCTTCAGGGGGCAGCACTTGGCTTTGTGCACACCCAAGAGCTCCTCCATCATCTCTTCAAGTGTTTGCACACAACGTGCACCCTTCGAGGACCTTCACGGAAATGCCGTTCCTTCCTGAGAGTACTTCTGGGTGTTTCTGTTGTTTCAAGACCTGAAACTCACAGAACAAACTGCTGTCTGGGGTGTGACAGCTGTAGCCACAGTCAGGTGTTTTATTTGCATTTGGAGAGATCACAGACACCTGAACTCGGATCTCGGCATGTGCTGACCTGGGAGGCAGGCTCCTGTGCCTTCGTCCTTTTCTGTTCACTTGTATAGATCACTACTGTTTGCGTGTTCCTGGGGACACAAATGGGAGATCACACAGAAAGTGAGCACTTGTTCACATCAGGCAGCATGCCTTATATTCTTCAGGAGGTAAATACAGAGCAAGAGGGTTCAGAGGAAGAGGGCTCACACCTGAGGTGACTTATGGTGGTTGGAAAGAGGGACCCCAGGGGAGTCTCATGGGGGAGGGGTCAGCATTGGCCAGGTGCACTGTGCTCCTGTAGTGAGCCTTCCTCCTGGCTGGGATTTGTGGTTGGGACCAGAAAAGGATGGCTAGATGTGTCCACATGGCCCATCAGAGCCGCGGTCTCCATTGTCGGGTGTGTGCAGGAAGAACAGCGGTGCTTTTGAGGGAAGGGAGGGCTCTTCAGGTTGTTTGTGCAGAACAATAACATGACTGGAGCGGACCCCAGAAGCTAAAATGAGGGGCTTGCAAGGCTGGCTGAGGTGGGGTTTGGGAAGGTTTGGGAGCTGCTAACAATGATGATGAGAGGCTGCGTGTGTGGGAATGTGGGATTTCAGAGACTCAGGGAATGAGGACTAGAGGTTGAGAGTCTGTGACAGGGCAGGCTTGCAGTTGGGCTCATGGGGATGGCAGTGATCCTCTCATAAGCATGAGCAGGGCGTCTAGAGGAGCACTGACTTTGGAAGGGCGTTGAGTGCTGGCATGTGGAGTTTAAGGCACTTGTGAGATATCAAGTCTGCGGGGCCATTGGTGGCAGTTGGCCGGAGGGGAAGCCAGGTGGAGGCAGAAGCAGGATAGGGAGCTGGCCCAGGAAACCTGGGAAGTGGGAGGGCTGACTGCAAGAGAGATGATTCCCTGGCAGCTGAGGGGGAGGTCTACTGAGGGGAGCAGAGCAACAAGGCAGCAAGGGAACTGGTTATGGGGTTCACAGAAGGCACACAGCAGGGGCAGTGGGAAAGGGAACTCAGGATGTGACCCACAACCAGGCTCCAACAGGAAGAGGATTCAGATCTCCTGCTGGAGTTGAAGCTCATTGAGGATGCTGGTTTACTGAGCTTTAGGCCATGGTGGGCAGAGGCTGCAAGGTTTAAAGAAGACATCGCTCTGGGTGTATGACACACTGCTGAGGTCCTACCACTCTGAGGGTGACACTGGAGGATTGTGACTTTTGGACCAAACTCTGCTATACAGCAAACCCTGTCTCTAAGAAAAGCCTTCTGATGGTTGTTTGCATGGTAGTCCCCACTGTTACACCAAGGCTGGGATCTACGGGAAGGGAGTGTGATGAGACTGCTCTCGGCAGAGCTGCCATAACAGCACTGACATGTGTGTGTACTATAAAATTACATGGTCATGCCGGGCGGTGGTGGTGCATGCCTTTAATCCCAGCCCTCGGGAGGCAGAGGCAGGTGGATCTCTGACTTCCAGGCCAGCCTGTTCAACAGAGCAAGTTCCAGGACAGCCTCCAAAACAATACAGAGAAACCCTGTCTCGAAAAACCAATTACATGGTTACAGTGTTAGGGTTTTTGTTTGGTGGTGGTATTTGTTGTCTTTTTTTTTTCTTTTCTTTGACTTGACTTTAGTTATCCAAATGCTTGATATTTTAAAATGTAACTTACTTGTGAGTGTGCACAGACCAGCAGTGTAGTTCAGTGACTCCTTGACCAAACACCGGTGTGCATACACCTCTCTGAGAAGGAAACAGGAACCTGCCAGGAGCCTGGTCCACGTTTCCCACTTCCCTCTGGGATGGATCCCCGTCCCTCCCTTCCTGTCTTTCTCTGGCGCTCACCTCCTAAGTGTGCGCCCCCCCCCCATGCTGTACTTCCTCACTGCTCGGGTCTCACTCTTGATCTGCAGCCTTAGGTGTGTAACTTACATCTGGCCTCCTTCACTTTGCCTCTTTGAGGCTCACCCCCACCCACCCTGGCGTGCACTTATGTGTTTACACCTGGTGAGCCAGTTCAGGAGGGGGAAGACAAGAGGGGTAAGATGCTGTGACAGTAGGGCAGTACCACATCAAAAGAGCAGAAGGGTCTCCTCTTCACACAGGGAGAAATCACACAGATCTCATAGACAGGATTGAAGACGCGGAGCTGGGGACCCCCAGAGACTGCTGAACTCATGTCAGAAGTAGTCACAGGAACTCTTGGTGGAGATGGAGTCATAGTCTGCTGTGAGCAGGAGGGAAGCAGAGAGGGTTTGAGGCTGGAGAACAAAGCTTGGAAGGTTACTGTTTAGACATCAGGCAGAACTAAACATGGATGATAGAGGGATTTGTCCTTAGTGAGGGACCAGTCAGGAAGAAACTGGGAGAAGCTCAGCTTATTTTGAGCTCCATGAATCAGGATCATCCCATTTTCCTTCTCCACCTAGCAGACCTGCGTGTTTCCCGGGCATGATTTAGGGGATCATGGTGGGGCCAGTTGGTGAAGCTAAGCTCCTTGGACCTGCCTACCTGAGCATATCACAGGTGGATGGCTGGGTCACTAGGAATTCTTGGCTTGACTTGGCTTTTCAGACCCAGTCAACTCAGCCTGTCCAGTGTGATTTACACATCCATTTTAGCTACCAAAGAATGCTTCCTGAATCAATTGTATTTCACCCAAATACAAACAGTGAGTATGTGGCATTCAGGTCTAGAAGATACAAGAGCAAAATGCTCCATGGTGCTCAACTGTTTTAAAACTCAATAATACCCAGAGAGTGTCCTAACTGGTTGCTATAGTAGGCTTCCTTTAAGGTGCATAATCTGATTAATATCTGTTGGTCTTAAAAGATATGGTGATACCACTGTTGGTTTTCTAAGATAAACCCTTAAGAGCCAGAGGTTGAAGAAATTCACACCAGACACTGCATATAGTGTAATCTCTTGCTGTTCCCAATGTCAAGTTTACTCTCAATTCCTCAGCAGAGGAAGTGTTGGGAAAGCAATGAACACCCTGATTTCTCTTGTAAAATAATTTTTTTGTGCACTGGAAGTTGTTCCACAGGAAACAGTGGACTCTGGACTTAGAATTTTTTCTGCTCTCCTTTTCCTCACATTGATTCATCTGAACAGACCTATTTCTTTGCTTGATTCCTTTTCCTACTCATTTATACTGTTGACTTCCTCTGCCAGGTTAGGTTATTGTGCAAGAAAGGCACTCAGAGAGATGGAGACAGACAGAAATGGAGGGAGACATACAGGGGGAAGGAGGAGGAGGAGGAGGAAGAGAAAAACGGAGAGGGCGAGTAGCATTCGCACAAGGTTTAGGAAGAGGACAATGATGACTAGGAACAGGAGGAGAAGATCCATAGTCCTAGAGGAGGAGGAGCTGCACAGAGATGAGGATAGGTGGGGGAGGAGAAGAGATAAGAGATGGAAGGAGAGCAGGAAGGTGAGAGAGGAAAGGGAAAGAAGGGAGAGAGGAGGAGAGACAAATGGAGAAGGGAGATGGGGAGGAGATGTGGGGGCATAGCTGCTGACTGTAAATCTGCTTCTTCTCATTTAAGAACTGGAGTTTTCACACTGACACCTTTTGGATTGGAGGAAATAACATCCCGACCACCAAAGGGTTCCACCCCCATAAACAGGACCCATCTCTTCTGTGTACGTATCTATGAGGAACCAAAGCCATGTTTGCAGGCAGGACATGGGGCTGATAATTACCATCCTTTCTGACCCACTTGCAAGTTCAACCGCAGCACTCACCATCCTAGAAATGCACAACAATCGTGTATCTAGGAAGCAGTGGGCAGTGGAAATGGGTTTTCTCAGATTTGAAACCTGGTCATTGGCTGTCTGTGAGGACGCTGACCCTCCTGCCCCTTTTCCTGATATCTGGGGATACTAACACTATGTACTTTACAGGTTGTTGAGAGGATAAAGGATTGGGGTTGAGGTGTGGCTCAGGGGCAGAGTGTGAGCTCAGCATGCTTGAGGCCTGGACTCCATCATGGAAATAAGTAACAGACAAAGTATGGAGTTCATTAGCTTACTTGATGCTTATTAAATGTTACTTTGTTCTTCTTCAATGTCATATAAGATAGGTAAATGTAGAGCAACTCACAAAATAAAGCATTTAATTGAGGTTGCTTACAGTTTTAGAGGTTTAGAGTTCATTATCATCATTGTGGGAGCATGGTGGCATGCAGGCAGACATGGTGCTGGAGAAATAGCTGGATTCTCAGGCAGCAGGAAAATGGAGTCACTGGGCTTGGCATGGACTTTTGAAACCTCAAATACCACTGCTAGTGACATACTTCCTTCAAAGAGCACACATCCTATTCCTTCTCAAGTAGTACCAATCCTAGATGAATGACCAAGTATTCAAATCTATAACCTATGGGGACCATTCTTATTGAAACCATAACAGTCAAGCTATCTGAATGCAAAGGGAAAAACTATGTAAGATGGTAAATTAAACATATTTGATTCTGTGATTTTACCTAGAAAGTGGATCTCACCTGCCTAGGAAGTGGTTTCTTCTCCCAGGTTGTGTTCTTTATAATACACTTAGCAGTGATCAGTTGTTTCTCAAGGTGTAGAATCAATCTCAGATCAATGAGATTCTGGCACTTTACTCCACATCAGCCCAGACTTTTCCACTGAGTTTGGATTCAGAGGAAATGCAGCAACATAGTGAGAGGACCAGAAGCCCATCCCATAAAATATGTAAGAGCCAGGGATGCAGCCACAGAGACCCAAGAAAGGCTGGGATCCTAGAATCAATGTGCTCATTCCAAGAGGTAGAGCTCCTGTGTGTGTGTGTGTGTGTGTGTGTGTGTGTAGAGTGAGAGAGAGAGAGACTTTTCTATATTTGAGCATGGTGTATGTATCTATCTGTGTATATTTTCAACCTGTGTCATATATGTTCACTGGTATGTATGTATGCACACTATGCTCATTCACAGAGCCCAAAGGAAGACACTGAGGTGCCCTCTATTAATGAAGCTTATTTCAAGGTTGAACAGTACATTAGGAGTCCATAGAGACTGGAAATTGATTCTCTTAAAATGGTATTTGTTTAGAGGTTAAAATATTTTCTGGCCAGGAACCAGTATGTTTGTAAGGGCCCAGTGTGCCCACTGCTGGCCCACTTTGGCTGCTTCAGGGTACCTAGAGCACAGGTTTTAAGTGCTCATACATACTAATTGACTGCAGAGGGACAGTGGTCCCAAAGAGTCCCAGACACAAGCCTACATGTGTGACTGCTCAGAGGGCTTCTGTGAGAGACAAAGGTTTGTTAAAGAAGTAAGGCACAGAACTTAAACCTAACTGACGACATGGAAAGTCAAGTTTCTGACTCGAGTGAGCTTGCTTTTTGATTGACTGTAAGCCTGGATGAGGCTTACCACCAACATACAGATTCAGGTAGAAACTGAGGTTCCTGACACAGGCAGCACAGTGTCTCCCTAGGTGAGATACTTGACTAGAGTCTGGTACCCCAACACCATGGAAACTGAGAAAAATATCAGAGTTTACAAGAGAATACCCTACTGATGGTACTGGCTAGGCTCCCACCAGAACCTTAGAGGATGCTGTTTGGGGCTTAAACTCTTCACACTTCGGTCCTTTGGCTTTTTATGATCACTGACTATTGAAGCTCCACAGCATCACTTGTGAGATAACAACTTCCAGAACAAAGTGGACCTCCTCACCAGCTCTGTGAGACAAGAGGATATGGCTGCTGCTCTGTGGTCTGTGTCATATTTGGCTCATGTAGAACAGCATGAGGTAGCCCTCCCTCCTGCCTCAACTCAATGTAAGCTGCTCCAGATTGTCTGGTCTTGCAACCAAGTCATCCTGATGACCATCTTCCTGACTGCGCTGTGGCCACCAAACACAACACAGCACACATAAAAGTCCGTCTGGCCTAGAGAGAGTACTCTGTTTGCCTGAACATGTTTCCTTGAAGTCTGGAATTGCTCTGAAGTTGTGATGACCTCATCATTGAGGGTAGTGTTTGCTTCTGTCCTCCAGTAAACTTGGTGCCCTGCAAAGGGATGACAGGACAAACACAGTGTCAGAGGCAGACCGGCAAGAGCAGCTCACTGTGAACTGTGATTGGTTGTACATTCTCTCCACTGCTTCTGCTAATATTGGCCCTTTGTAAAAGGGGAGCTACCCAGAACACATAGTCATTGCCCATGAAGTTAACAGAAACTCATATTTTATTTACTATTAGTGTAGTTTTAAGCAGATTTGTAATTTCTAAAAATACGTTATTTAATTCTACAATAAAAGTTAACTTCTGTGCCATGCTCTGGAGTATTTTCTCTAATCAGGTATGGCAAACATGTTAAATGCGGATGTGATGCAGGGAAGTGGTGGCGCCCGCCTTTAGTCCCAGCACTTGGGAGGCAGAGGCAGGCGGATCTCAGTGGTCTACGAGTTCCAGGACAGCCAGGAGAAACCCTGTCTTGAGAAAACCAAGGGGAAGAAAATGAGGATGTGATTGTTGGCCAATGGGATTGACAAGGTGCTGGAGGGCAACCTTGTCCCACTTATGCTCTTTTTCCTTCTTTCTTTGTTTCACTTTCCCCCTTTTCTGTTTTTATTGATTTTTTTTATTATGACTGGATCTCGGTGTGATGCAAGGTCTGGCCCTGAACTCAGTATGTAGACCAAGCGGGACTGGAACTTACAAAGATCCACCTGCTTCCACCTCCCAAGAGCTGGGATTAAAGACTCTCCTGGGGCTGTAATTTTTAAAACTTATTCTCTAAGTCTATAATGTATCTTGATCATATTTATTACTCACTGCCCTCTTGCATCCTCCTCCAGCTCCTTCCAGAACCCCTATTCCCAATACCACCCCCACCTTCATGGTTTTAAAAATGTATGCTTATTTACTCCGTGTCTGAAAGAGAGTCATAGAGGAAGGAATGGGGCCGGCCGCTAGGGAAGAATTACTTCTCTGCTTCCACCCTGTGGGATCCCAGGGTTACACTGACAGGCTTGGTGACCAAGGGCCTAGTCCCCTGAAGCCAAGTTTTCTGCCCCATTTTCTGATTTTTGAACAAGTCACTGAGTTTAATCAGGGATTTTTTTTTGTATGTGTACACTTGTGGGATCCTATTGGATCCTAGGCAACATCCCAGTCTGTACACCCCTAAAGAAAAATAGCTCCTCCTCCCCGCAAAGCTTCTCAGTTAGGGGTGGAGCAAGAGTTTCGGCCCCATGAATGCTGTAACACTGAAAGCTGAAACCCCCTTGTGAAGCTTTAGTGGAGTAAGCACAGCTGCTGGACTTTCCTGAGTGTAGTAGCCTTGTCCGGTCTAGAAGGGAGCGTCACAGCACTCTGGCCCAGCCTCCAACCTATTAATTGCTTCTGTGTCATTTTACACCATTCCCTCTGAGCAGTGAGACAGAGGTGTGTGTGTGTGTGTGTGTGTGTGTGTGTGTGTCTGTCTGTCTGTCTGTCTGTCTGTCTGTCTGTCTGTCTTTGCACCCACGGGGGTTTTGTACAAGTATGTGTGGATTGAGTATGTATATGGGTGAGTGTGTTTATGAGTGTCCATGCATGCCTATGTGCATGAGAGAAAGAGAGAAGAGAGAGACAGACAGAGAGAGGGAGAGAGAGAGAGAGACAGAGAGAGACAGAGACAGAGAGAGACAGAGAGAGAAAGAGAGAGTCTATGTGTGTGGAGGCCTGGCTTGTACAGGTATTATTCAGAGAACAGCTTTGGAGTCATTTCTCTTTATCCATCTTGACATGGGTTCAGGAATTGACCTCAGGTAGCCAAGGCTTTCACAAGTTCCTCTACTTGCTAAATGAACCATCAGGAAAAAAAAGTGTACACTAACACAGTTCCATTTGTGTTTATCACAAAGTTCACACTGATCTTGAAACCTGATAAGGATGGCTGGTAGATTAAAAGAAAGTTTACAGTATACTGTCTTCCAGCCAATGCCCTCTCCAACTCCTCCATACCTTAATTCTGTCCTCCATTTCTTGACCAACCCTGCTATTCAGTCCCAGGACCACCTTTCCTTGACTCTGTACCCTCACCCTACCCAACAGAGGACCATTCTATAGAGTCCTCCCAAGGGTCAGATATCAGTGTTTCTATTGCTGTCCTGGGAAACTGTTACCACAGTCAAAAGGTACTAGTACCAGACACAGGAGTGGAGAGGCTGGGCTACACTTGGGAGGTGGGAAGGCCCATTTAAAGAGGGATATTTCTGTGGATTCCTTCTGCAGGACGAGGCTGTGAGCTGCAGTGTCTACTCCTCAGCTATTCTTAGCTCACTCCTCGGCATGCCCAAAACAGCTGTACCCCAATACCATTTGGAGGTGCGCACTGCTATGGATGTGATGCATGTGTGTGCACAGCATGCAGGTGTGGACCTCAGAGGACAAACTTGGGCGCTGGTTTTCGGGCACAGTCCACATTTTAAGACACAGTCTCTTGGTGGCCTGGAACTTTGCCACACGAGCAAGTCTTAGTGTGGTGTCTGGCTTTTCCGTGGATTTCAGAATCCAAACTGATGTCTCCAGGCTCCTAAGGTTGAGCGCTTTGCTGACTGAGCCTTCTCCTCAGCTTCCTATCACCTTCTGGGCTTCCCCAGAGTCCTGCCTTTCTCACAGTCTTCTCTCCTAGATCTCCTACAGATCCCAGGACTGGAGATCAAGGCCCTCCCCAGGTTGTTCATATGCGCCCTTCATCACATCTCTAAACCGGTCACCTGAACTGAGTCAAGTCCCTCAGTATTTGCTCTCCATGCTCTGAGAGCCTTCTGCGCATGTGCTCTGCCACCTCCTGCCTGGGCCCTCTGCATCTGTCTGGACAACAGCAGAACGCCTGCATTGTCTGGTTGGGAAACCATCTTTGCTATCAGAACTTCAGTTTGCCCCCTGGGGCAGTGCCAGGCAAGAGGGATGGGTGCAGCGCCACCTTAGCCTGTGTAGCTGGGAGAGCCAGCGTCCTGTGACTGTTTCCTCTATGGAATGGGGGCCGCTAGAGAAGACCCTCTTGTGGCTAATGTGGGAATTGCAGCCATTGCATAGCACCCAGCCTGGAGTACATCACGTGACTCCCCACGTGGGCGGTGGAGGCAGAAGGATCAGGGAGTAAACTGGCGCCAGCGGCTGCCTGTGTGTCTGTTCCCCTTCTGTTTCTGCTGGAGATGCACTTTTGGCCACTGTGAAGCCTGTGGTATAGCCAAGACAGCCCCCCCCCCCCCGCGCAGCTTACCTGTGGTGCAGGTGCAGGAAGGGGGCGGGGAGAGGAGAAGGTTGACTGTACTGCATTCCTTCTAACCCCGAGTGAAGCAGCAGCTTCCCCGATTTTATCTCATTTTTTGTATCTTCCCCCACTGCCCAGATGTGTGTTGACCTGCCTGTGACTCCAGGACTCTAGAGCCTGAGGATAACTGCCATGTGGGCCTGAACTCTCTTCAGAGCCTAGGTCATGTTGCTGTCTGTCTGTCTGTTTGTGGCATTAATGACTTCTAACAAATCTCTTAGCCAGAAGGTCAGGGCACCACAGTGAAACCCTTGAGTCCCAAACCCAAGACCTTTCACAGAGCCCACAGGAGCATTGTGGAAAGGGGTTTTATGAAATAAGACACTGAACTAAAAAGAAAACAAAAACCTTGAAAGCTTAAAATATTTAAAGCTGGGTTGCACACTCCCAAATCCATGGAAAGAACAAACACCTTTTAAATAAATAAATAAATAAATAAATATATATATATATATACATATATATATATTTATAGGCATCTGTACAGGTCCATCCCATGCCCCTATTGCTTGTGGCCCTTGGAATCTGTTGTCACCTATTACCTACTCACTCATACTAAAGTTCTTAGATTCACTCAGGCATCCCTAACAACTCAGTGGACCCGATATAGATTTTATCCAAAGATTCCCTATTCTACATAGATTTCCTACCACTACCACTGCTCAAGCCATTCATTAGCAATTCAGCCCTGACTCACTTTAGTACTGACACAAGAAGTTTGTGAGAAGCACTAATTGGGGACTTAAAAGCAAAAGGAGCTCACAGTAAGCTGGGCTGCAAATACCTGACCTTGCACTTGAGGCATGGTGTAACTTACCATACTGCATTTCTCAAGAGCCTTTCTTTATTGTTTCCCATAAAGTCCATCAGGTCAAACTGGTTCATGCTGCTTTGAAATCTCACGGGGAAGCACATAGTATGCCTCATGAGAAAGCATGCAGTATGCCTCATGAGAAAACATGCAGTATGCCTCACCATGTTGATTTCCTTAAAAATAGTAATAGAACATGAATAGGAAAACATGCATGTAGTAAAATATGAGCAAAAAACAGTCTTTAAAAGCCAAGTATAAGGTTTTTTTTTTTTAAATAATGGGCATATGAGGACTCTGATTGACCTTGTAGTGAGGTCACAATGTAATAGCACTACTGGGGAGTGACAGAAACTAGCAAGTGGGGTCTTGTTAAATGCACTGTGTTGCAAGCTTTAAAGCTTAGATCTTGGGACTGGAGAGACGACTCAGAGGTTAAGAGCACTGACTGCTCTTCCAGAGGTCGGGAGTGCAATTTCCAGCAACCCCATGGTGGTTCACAACCATCTATAATGAGATCTGGTGCCCTTTTCTGGCCTCAAGGTGTATATTCAGGTAGAATACTGTGAACATAATAAGTCTTATTTTAAAAAGCTTGGATCTTACTCCTGCCCCTTCCAGTCTTTCTACATTAGTCTCCTTCCCCGGCTCCTCCTACTGATGCCCTGCGCCTCACTACTGGTCCAAAGTGAGGAGGACAATGATGCTCTGAAACACCAGCAAGTGTGAGCCACAATAAACTTTTCCTCCTTTCAGTTATCCCCTCTGGTTTTGTCACAGGGATGAAAACTGACTAACACGGCATCCCTTATAGATACATTTGCCTCGGGCCACCAAAGAATCTGGCTAGGTTTAGGATAAAGGCAATCCAGGCTTTCTGTGAAGCAGATATTCCTCTCACAGTGCTTTACCCAGCATTACTCAAGATGAAATTATTTTTATGTCAAGAAGTTTATGTTGGCCAGGTGTGGTGGTGCACGTCTTTAACCCCAGCACTTGGAAGGCAGAGGCTAGCAAATCTCTGAAATGGAGGCCAGCCTGGTCAACAGAGTGAGTTCCAGGACAGTCAGGGATACACAGAGAAACCCTGTCTCGAAACAAAACAAAAAAGAAGATTTTGTTGAGCTGGGACTGTAGCTTATTGATAGAGGACTTGCCTGGTGAGGTCCTGGGTTCAATATCTAGCACCTCAAAAAATTTAAGGATACAGCTAAATGGGTTAAGATAATTAAGTGGATACAGTTAAGATAATGCAGTATCTTTGTTGGGCCTTTTAAGGTTACTAAATATGAACTATGTGTAAATAAATGTCTTTGTGAACCATGAAAAGTGACCTACCGTCTACACACATGCTAATGGAAGACATAACATGAGAAAACATGTTCAGGATTCTCTCCTTCAGTGTGCAGATTTCGTGACTATTTCTGGACTCTCCTGATATATAAAACATCAAATTTCTAGTTCTGAAAATACAAAAGGAGGCAAGGTGCATTGGCTCATTTCCCACAGTAAAACAACAATAAAACAGCCACACAAATCACCTTATTCTGGACCTGAACTTTACCTGGTCTTCACTAATGTCTTCTTTCTCCAATTCTTCCGGTTTTTGCTTGGTCCTGCACCCAGAGTTGGTACAGAATGCTGGAGGGTCAAGATTCTATACTGGCAGTTTGAAAGCAGAAGTTAAGTCAGTTATAACTGCCACACCGGCTGCACCAACTGAAGAGAGACTAGAACTGGGTAGGTGGGTTTACACCTGTGATCCTAGCACTTCTGAGGCTGATGCTGGAGAATGCCTCATGCATTGAGGCCTGCTCAGGCTACCTGGTGAGTCCCAGAGAGCATGTATAAAAAAAGAAGAAGAAAGCATCTCTGATGCTATTCAAGCATGAAAGACCTGAATGGTGGGATGTCTACATGGCTTAGAGAATAAAAAAAACAGCAAAGTACAGGCAGAATTCCACCCAACAGAAGGAAAGCTTGCAGTAGGCCACTTCTGGCTGTCTGCTGCTTACTTCTAGTGGGCAGAGACTATTTTCAGAGCATCTAGATACTCGAAGATGCTTCTGGAAGGTGACAGGAAGTGACATCTATGAGTTTAAAAATGCCAAACAAAGGCTTCTCCAACAAATACTTCCCACAATAAAGGAAGGAAAGATGAAAGTGGAAGAGAATTAGATGCATGCCCAGCCTGACCTAGTCCAGCACAAAGATGGTAGCATTATTAAGAAAGTAAAGGTGACCACATCACCCCCTGAGAGGCACACCCAGTGAACTTCACCATACTCCTGACTCAAGTTAAAGAAACTTAAAAACTTAACCCCATTGTTTGGTTCTTGAAAGCTTTCAGCAGGACATGAATCAGATCAATTCAATCCAGAGTTCTTCCTTTCTCCCCAAGAACAGATTCTGCCATGTGATAGAATGGGGAAAATCTCCCTAACCTAAGAGTCTGGGGGAAAGAGGGTCTGCCATGTCTGTCTTTCACCATCATACCTGGTTTAAGCATTCATTTTAATAAGACAAATACACGTTGAAGAACTTACCAATGAGTGCAAGGCTTAATTTCCTAACTAATTTGTTCTTGGTGACAGGAAAGGCCTGCCTTCAAACAAAACGGAGCTCAGAGCCACAAGCCCATGCCAGTGTTAAGAGTTCTGCACTGGGAGACTTGAGCCAGCTAATTGACATGTGTTCTCTAGCTGGAGAAAAGTATCAGGTATTATTGCCTGCAACAATAGTGCACAAATTCAACACCTTGAACCTTAAAACCACATCTTCTCCCCGAGTGTTCATGACTCACTTTTTTTTTTCTTTTTCAGTCTCTATGGGCTCACAGCAAAGAGGCCAATATTGTGGCCAGTTTGTCTTTAGACTGCATCACAGGTCTCACAAACACTCTCACTCCTCAGCAAAGCCTAAGACAGGCTTGTGCAGTGCTGTGGTACAGGGAGCTCATATTAGCGGATTTCTCTCTGCCGCAGCCCAGCCCTAGTCCCTGGCAGTGTTTCCCAGCAGGAAGATGCCCCTCGAGAGCTCCTGAAGACACTAAATTAACAAGGGTGCACCATCCCATTGCCTTCTGCTCCTAGTTCTGATTGTTTTCATAGAGATTTGGTCCCAAGCACGTAATGATCAGCCTGTCATTGTCTCCACTTTCACAATTGATTAGTCCATCTCTGTATTCTTGGGGACAGTGAGACAACCTTTAACTCAAAAATACCTGCACATCCAAGAATATGTATTGGGTTTGGGACTACAAGCCATTGTGAGCACTGGGGACAGAGCCATAAGTCAGAAAATCTCCCTTCTTTCAAGAAATCGTATTTTAGGAGACTCCCATGGTGGAGGGGACTATAAAGAGAATTAAAGCAGGACCAACATGGGCTGGTGAGATGGGACAGAGGGTAGAAGCACGTGTCGCCAGGTCTGATGACCTGAGTTCAATCCCCAGAACCCATAAGGTATGAAAGAAACTGTCCCACAAATTATCTTCTGACATTCACTATCCCTAGCAGCATGCTCCTGCCCTCAGGCGCACGCGAACACACACACACACGCACACACAGACACACACACAGACACACACACGATAAAAATGAATGTAAGTTAAACAAACACAAAGCCGACTGATAGAGGATGGCTGGGAGGCTGCTTAGATGTATACTCAGTGAAGTTTTGTTTGAAGAGGTATCATCTGACTCCTGAATGTCAAGCTAGACAGCAATCCCCCATGAAATGTTAAATTGCTGTGACTCCGATGGAGGAGCCATTGGCAGGAAACTGCTGATTCAAAATAAATTTTTAAACATACTGGATCGGTCCACAGTTCCATTCCCTCATTCACTAGGTTCCCTTTTCTTCCTGGTTCGTTTTCTTTTACCAAGAGGACCGCTGCAGAGCTCGTTCTCATTGGTGGAAAATTCCAGCCCCACCCACCCGTTCTCCACTCCAGGTCTTAAATCCTTGGAGCGTAATTGAAGGAGTGGCGAGAGTGGGCGTGTCATCGGAGGTGACGTTTCCGGAAGCTCCGACTGTCATCCTTCACGAAAGGTGGGAAGGGTCCTGGGAATGCTGCGGGACGGGGTAACATGGCGCGGTGGGACCCCGCGGGGAGAAGCCATGAGTGTGGGGCCCGTATCCCTGGCCCTGGCCCGCCGTGCGCGAGCTTCGGGATGGCCCTGTCCTCAGGGCTGGCTCCTCACCAGCCAGGCCCGGTTTCAACACTCGTTGCATTTTTGAGAAACCTGACTGAGTGCCTCCTGGAAGGGCGCTGACAGCTGTTACAGGTGGATCCCTCTTCGATGCACACACCCCTATGCTCCTGCCCCTTTCTTTCGCCTCCCTCTGAGCCCCTTCCCCCTTTTTCTCGGACACCGTCTTTCCTCTGCATGGTTGCTGAACCCCATGTTAACCCAAGCCACTCGATAGCTTCCGGAGGAAGGTCCCTGCTCTACCCACACGTGCTTCCCCCAAGAGGTGCCGAGATGCCCAGCATCCCATTTCAGTGAGCTCTGCCGGGCTGTGCCCAGCTCAGCAGTTAGGGACTTGGGCGGGTTTTACACTCGCAGGAGGAGATGTGTTACACTCCCAATGCCTCCACATTCCTAGCAGCCCCCGATGTTGCTAGGAAAGAAGGAGGTTTAGTGGGGAAGAAATGCCACCCAAAGGTTGAAGGAAGCTACAGTAGAATTTGCCTAGAGAAAACGATATCTGAGGACAGGTGAGTAGAATTCAGAAAAACAAACGAGACTAATGGGTGGTTCCGGGCAGGTGGGAATCCTGATGGATGAATGAGGTACAAAAATGGGAAAAACACAAGACGACTGTATTCTAGCATAGGGCTGGCTGGGGTGTGCTGTGGTCTTGTACACAACAACCACCTCCGTTCTGCTCTGGGTTGTGTGGAATGATGATGCCGTGGAGTCCAGCCTGAGTCCAACAGAAGCGACATCTAGAAAGAGCGCAGACTCACTGGAGTTTGGATTCCAATGAGTAGGAACCCCTAGTGTGTCTCATCCCATCTGACACAAGTGACACTTTGCCTGGCTTGTGGAGACAAGTCTACATTGATGCTTCTGAGCGCTGCTTGGCCTGGAAAATGATGAATGCATGGACTGAATCAGAGAGTGGTTTAGTGAGCAAAGTTACGTATGAGTTTTTATCCCAGAAAGAAGCTCCCCACCACCACCACCACACACACGCTGACCTTGTATCCAAAACTGAGGAAGTGTATGATGGTAAATATCACCTATTCTCCGGAAATGAAATGGGCAGCATGAATTAACAGAGCAGTCTTCATGAAGGTTCACTAAACACATTCTGCCAGGTATCTGGGTAGAGGAACAACAGAATAAATAGACTTCCTTACCTCTGCAGTCCTCTAGGTAGGCCTTCCACTGATGAAGAGTGACAAGGGAACAGAAGACCCAACCCACAGTGGCCTATTAATGACTGTATTCCTTGTGTCATCAAATTGTGGGACAAGGGTTGATTTTTCTTTTCTTTTTTCTTTCTTTTTTTTTTTGCCTGTCAGTCCTCAAATCAGAATTTGGGTGTTTTAGGGGGTAGGAGGGATAATTTACTGATCAGAACCACTGCATGTAGTGTTTTATTTTCTCTAGTTTGTGTTTGTCTGTTTTGTACTTTGTTTTTGTTTTGAGACAGGGTCTCTATATATAGCTTTGGCTGTTCTGGAACTTGCTATGTAGAGTATACTGGCCTTGAACTCAGAGATCTGCCTGCCTCTGTTCCTCAAATTCTGGGATTAAAGGTGTACTCAACCCTAACTCATCCTGTGCTAGACCACTGGGAAGATATGACCCTGGCTTTGATGTTATCTGTTTTCTCTTTTCTCTCCCAGGATTTATTGGTCCAATGTCTGACCATGGGGATGTGAGCCTCCCACCCCAAGACCGGGTGAGGATTCTGTCCCAACTTGGGAGTGCAGTTGAATTAAATGAAGACATTCCGCCCCGCCGTTACTTTCGTTCTGGTGTTGAGATCATCCGCATGGCATCCATTTACTCTGAAGAAGGCAACATTGAACATGCCTTTATCCTCTACAACAAGTACATCACGTAAGACACCCACAGTTCTCTTTTTCCTTCCTGTGAGGACACCCCTTGTCTCTTCCCTCTGCTTGCCTATGGTTCTCACAGCTGCTAACAGTAGGGAACTTGACAATGTCAACCAGTAATCAGGTTCCAGGCAGCTTTCACATGTGAGTTGTCCTTGCCATTTAAAGACACAAGACTGAAGGTAGCCTTATTTGACTCAGGAATTTCCTGAGTGGGAGGCTTACTCCTCATTCTGTGCCCACAGGAACCAGCTGTTAGGTACAAGAGTTAGCAGGTAGGCAGGGTGTGTCTGCATTGGTGGGTGTTTTGACTGCACTTTCTCTGCCAATCACAGGACCATTGCTGGTGTGTGGCAAGAGCCCAGATTCCTGTACTCATCCTGTAGCCTATTGCATGGTATAGGGAAGAGGTTTCCTTTTTAGCTGTCACTCTAGTCACATAGCCACCAGATAGCTATGGACCACTCGCTGTCTGACTTATCACAGTAAGACATTTCCTGAGCTGTTTGTTCATCATAGTTGGGTAGGCAGCATAAATACAAGGTTTCAAGGCTGTCACC